ATATAGATATGAATATTAATCTATAGATTAAAACTGCCAGTGATGCAGGTCAGATGATCAGCGGTCCGAGCGCCTGGTTTCAAATCTTCCCTTGGCCACTAGCAAAATAGATGATTTTTCTGGGTTGGTGACTTAGCCTTTTTAGTCCTCAGTTTCCCTACCTAAAAATGGAGACATTCACAATATGTCCCCCACTGAGGATTGCTCTGAATATCAACTGAGAAATCCCTTGTTTGCCACGAAATAAATGTTGACTCATTCTACTTTTCTGCTACTGTCAAAAGTGAAATATCTAAAATATGTTGGCCTCAAAACACAAGAGATGAGAGCTGGGGATTTAGCTCAGTTGTCCTGCAGCCCACTTTACAAGCGCAAGTCCCGAGTTTGATCCCCGGTACCAAAAACAAACAAACAAAATACAAAAGATGAACAAGACATATCATGAATGTTTTACATCTTAAAAACTTGTTGCAGTGAAGGGCATATTGCCATTAACCCCCCCTTCAAAATAACCTCAAAATACTTCTCCAGCTTTGAACACACTTATTTCTCTGTTGCCACTTTCTGAAACACTTCTGGAAGTCCCATTTCCTGTATGTCTTTATAAAATGTAATCAAAAATACAATGAACGCTGCTTCCCAGAGCCACTCAATGGAAATGCAGTCTCATGAAAACATTATCGTCTGTCCTAATTTACTTTATTCCCTGGATCTGAAACATGAGACTCTGGCTATTCGCTACAGTAAAAATGACCACAAAAGATAAATGCTCTGAGTGGATTCAGGACATTAAGGCAGCCAGAGCAGTGTAACTAAGACACTTGTCAAAAAGAACTTGCAGAACTGCTTCAGAAAATACAAGAACAGGGCTGGGGATTTAGCTCAGTGGTGCCACTGCCTGCCACGAAAGTGCAAGGTCCCGAGTTCGATCAAAGTCTTTTACAGTAGTCAGGTTTTAAAATTTTAATCATGCACTGTATTTTTCAAACATACCCCATAGGTATCTGGGGAAGAGAGCAGTGTAAAAATATTATATTGTGAGAAATAAGATCTGTTACCAGGGAAAAAAAAGTAACTGGCAAAAGCTTCTGGAATTTTCGATGGGAATGATTTGTTTATTTTTAAAAGTATTAATAACAACCCACTGTAAAACACTAGATCCTGTGAGAGGTATGCTCTCATTTAATCCCCACAAAACAGTTTGAAGCAACCAGCCTTAGAAACCCGATGAAGTAACCTGAACGATGTAGTGAATGATTAATAATATTTTACAGAGAGGGAAGATGAGGCTGTCAGAGGTTTAATCTCTGGCTCAGAGTCACAGGAAACAAAGCGAATGTGTGAATCCCACAGCCCAGACAGTTCATAGCATAGCCTCTTAACAATTCAAGTGATATTTATGAATTCCTAACAGATTGGTAATAATCTTGCTAAATTACATTTTTTCTGGTACTGAGGATCGAACTCAGGACCTCGAGCTTGCCACGCAAGCACAACACCACTGAGCTACATCCCAGGCCCAATTTTTACTTTTTGTTTCATTTTGTTTTGTTCTGCAATAAGAGTCAGAAAAATAAAACATAGTGGCAATCACCGGAATTGGCAAACTCAAGAAAATCATGAGGTTAACTAAGAGAATGGCGCTGACAAAGGGTAATACTGTCAAATAGTCGAAAGTTGTCAAAAATTAGATGGCTTCTGAAAAATAATTTCTGCAGATCAGGTAGCACCATAAAAGAGAAATAAAATGATATATTGCAAATACTTATTTTTTGATAGATGGTCTGAGATCCTTTCTAGAAAAAGAAGTGTTATAAATTAAATTGATAACTGAAATGATTGTCGTCTGTATAATTTCATAGAATAAGGCTTCAAATTCCAAATAATAGTACAGGTTGTGAAATTTGAAACCTATACAAGGCTGCCACTTAGTGGTCAAAATTAAGAATAGCAAGCAAAGGCCAAAGCATATTGATGATAGAATACAATTTAGTTTTTGAAATTAAATTGGAAAATGAAAACAAGTTCATTAGACAAAAAAAAAAGTAAAAATTGATACCTATAATTTTGTTGGTAATGAGTTATAATATTAATTTGTAGGAATTAAGACTATGAAAACATGATGATAATGACATCAGTTTAATAACTAAAAGCTTGCAAAACAATTGCATTTGAATTTATGTTTTGTTTTGTTTCTGGTACCAAGGATCAAATTCAGGACCTTGTGTTTGGGAGGCAGGCATGGTGCCACTGAGCTAAATCCCAAGCCCCTGCATCTAAATTTAAATCCCAGAGCATCTGTAATTTCTTTAGAATTGGTATCTATCCTCCTTTTATACAAGGGCTGCTCACTGTGCCTGCTTGTGACTTAGTTGTTCTTTAAAAACAAAAACAAAGCTGGGTATGGTGTCACACACCTGTAATCCCAGCACTCGGGAGACTGAGGCAGGAGGATCACCGTGAGTTTGAGACCAGCCTGGGCTACATTGCGAGTTCCAGGTCAGTTTCAACTACTTAGTGGGACCCTGTCTCAAAATACCAAAAACAAAAACAAAAAGACCTATTCATTTGTTAAAATTTTGACAGAATTCAAAATATCAAAACATTCTTTAAGACCCTCTCTGTCTTATATTTTTGCGTGTGACATTTTGAACAATGGACAAACACAGTCAGCTGTACCCCTCTTCTCTTGGCTGCCTTAATACATGCTATCTCTATTATGTTTGCGTTCACTAATGTTTACTTACAAAGACTCATTCCTATGTATTGACAAACCTAGAAATAACTACTAGCTGTTAGGATTATCTTATCAAAAGTGGGTCAAACATTTCTTGTATTTTTATCTAAATTTTCTGTGGCCCATTAAGCAGTGAAGTCCACCTTTGAAATTTGCCTTCAAAAACCAAGGGAGATGCTACCGAAAACTTTATTGGTCTTTTGTAGATTCAAAAGACAAAATTAAATTTAATATTCAACTTTAACACAAACACTCTTGCTTACTTTTTTCTTTGGAAAGTTTAACCTACCCATACATGTATGAAGTGTTAAAATATGCATTTGATATTCGTGTTTGGCAGCGTTGAATCTTTAGTCAATGGGTAGTTTTCTATCACAGGTGGATCATGTTGGGACAGAAGGAGGTAAATCTAAGTTGATGATTTCTGAGATGGGGCCCGAGGGCCTGAGAGGCAACTCCGTGAGCCTCTGCGGCTCTCTGCCGCAAAGTGAGTACTACGACCATTCTCATTTTTAGGGTCACATTTCTTATTTCTTAATTAGTATTCCAATTATTTCTTTACTTCCTCACTTTGTAGAGGCTTTATTGCAGCTACGAAATAACTAATTTATAAACTATGCATATCACATTTCAAGAGTACATGTGCAATTATTCAATTTATAATACCACAGAACTAAACAAATTCAAAAGTCTGTTTTTAAAAAAGACCTTTCTTTAGCTCGCTCTTTCCTTTAAATGAATAAAAACCAAGTGACATTTACTTTTATTGCCCAAAGAACTCACAATTTGAGGAACTATTAAATTGTTAAAGCTCTGGATCCCAATTTCACATGGTGGGCATATTTGTATTAAGTCCATCAAAATAGTCTCAGTCATATAAAGGAAAGTGCTACATGGTATAATGGCAAAGTATGAAATTTATAGTAGAGTGTTGATTCTCTGATTTTTCTATATTGTAGTTTTGGTTCAAAAGTCAAATTGGCAGGATTCCTGTAGATGTCCAGTAATAACTAGACCAGATAAATTAAAAAGAGCTAGACTCATGGTGAATAAACAGAGAGGCATGCAAGTTGCAAAGCGTCCACAGCTGTTCCTAGGCATCTGTCTAAAATGCAAGAGGAAATGTCCCCTTTCACTTAGTCTTACTCAACTTGACGGAGAGCAGCTCAGGCTTTTTACAATTGGAAGGCCAAGAGGAAAAATAGAAGAGCTGGATAATTTAAAAACATGATGATATTATGCTATGCACATATTGATCCTGATTTTATATGGTTTTAAAAATCTTTACTGGCCCGGGGATTTAGCTCAGTGGTTCCACTTCCTGCCTCTCAAAGCACAAGGATCTGAGTTTGATCCCCACTACCAAAAAAACAAACAAACAAAAAATCTTTTCTATCTTAGAGTCCATACAAATTTTTGCATCTGTATTCATAACTGATTCCAAAGTCCAAATTTTGCTTAATTGAGGTGTATTCCAAATAGATCTTTGAGTTTCTAATTAGTCGCTTTCCCAAAGAGGCTAGGAGGACCCAGTGACCAAGCTACATTTTAAAAGCACTGTAACTGAGCAATCTGCCACTGTTGGATGTTTCCATCCACGTCATTATTCCTGCACTGCCTCCAGTTTTTTCCTCTATTTTATTCCTTTCTGAACATTGACTATATCGCTATGCTTAATTATGATACTGATACTGTGTGCTCTCATTCTTCAAATACAGACATTTAATCCATTTACAAATCACTAAAAGACTAATTCTTCCGACATACATTTTGATTGCTTATACTCAAAGAATAAAATAAATGCTTTAAAGCAATCATACTAATCCAGGATAAGTACTACGCTTTTATCTCTCTTACAGCAAAAATGAGAGTACTAAAGTACAGTACAGATAGTGTGTGTATATATATATATATATATACATACATATATATATAGTGCAGTACAGTATGCACCAATATATACATAGTATTACAACTAGGGGGAAAATATACCTAATGTACCCAATGCATATTTATAAATTCACCCAAACCCCAATGGATACCTATAAAATTAATGTCTCTACCAACATCTTCAGGATCAGCCCTTAAATTTAGGAGTTCAGAAGTATCATCACTAAGTACTATGAAAAGCTTGTATGCTTATTTTCTTGTTTTTTAGTTTCAAGAAAAAATTAAAGCATATGAAATACAACTATAATAGAACTGTAGTGGAGGCACACAAGATTCATTGGGATAGCAATAAGATGAAACTCAGAACACATACCATAAAATTCCTCTGATAATGAATATTCTCTTTGGTGAAGTCTATCACGTAGCCATTGAAAGACCAAATAAACGTGAGATCCAAGGCAGGGTCAAAGGAGGCAGCACATTGCATGGTGGCATTTTCTCCAACGGTGATGTCGGCATTGATTGGGGCCAAGATTATCCGCGTGGGATCTGTACATTTTTCAATAAAAGAATAAAGCGCAATTCAACAAAATAAGAGGCATCCTATTTTCCAGTATACATTAAAGAATGAGAAGCAACACACTTAGCTTTTTCTATGCAAAGAAATATGAGGTTTTCACATCCAAAATTCAGGAACAATGTCAAGAGAAGGAGAGATTTACATAGGGGCTGTTTATAGAAACTTAGCCCTGACCCACATGTCTTTTAGTACACTAGAAATCAAGCATCATCAGACTTTAAAGATATTAATAAAATATCAAATGATCTGTTACCTGTGATAACAAGTGTACCAGTGCTATTAGCTTTCCCTCTGTTATTTTCTGCAAAGCACGTATAAATGCCTCCATCGTTCCTTGTAATATTGTTGATTTCCAAGCTGCCATCTTCCCAAATGAGTATTCTATCAACATTAAAACATACATCATTCAATTAATAAAACATCATTGTACTCACATTTTAAACTAACGTTTCTGATCAGTACATTCCATACAAGTCACTTGATAGGAAGACTTTTATTCAGTGGAAACATTCTAGCCTTTGATTTTAATATTCTTTCTCATCATTGACAGTATTTTAGAAAGTCATATTCTTCATTTTTCTGAACAATCACATGGGTCCTCTGATGCCTTGCTTTTTCCATTGTGTCTTTTTCACATCAGCCAGACACGGAGGTATCATGTCACATTACTGCCCAGGTGCCACTCAGCAACCTGTAAACTCTCTGGTGACTTGTACAAGTCACTATTCTATGTCCTGTGAGACTTTAGGCAATCTCACAACTTGTTCCTGCAATCCTTTATGTTTCACACTTTCCATAAAGCTTTTTAAATGATTTGGGCATTATTTGTGGTTTTGTATGGGTATGTGTATACGCATATGCACACATTTACATGCCTTGCACAGAATTTTGTTTTTTGGTTATTTTGGGATTTTCTTTTTTTTTTTTTTGGTACCAGGGATTGAACTCAGATCCTTGCACTTGAGAGGCAGGCGGTGGACCACTGAGCTACATCCTTGGCCCCACACAAAATTCTGTTGCCCTGGCATTCTATATCATATTGCTCTCCCCAGATTTTTTCCCTAATGCATATATCATATAAAATTTTTCAGCTTAGATTGTTAACGATGTCCTCCCATTAGATCGCAACATTTTGATGTCAAGAAATTTGTGTCTGTTTTACTGATGGCAGTGTCCCCAGCACCTAAATAAAATTCTTGTAAGGAATTTTCTTTTTGTTGTGATCCATCACATAGCCATTGAAATAACAAATAAATGTGAGACCAAATAAAAGAGGATCAAAGAACCCAGCACACTGCATAATTTGGGTTTGTTTTTTTTTTCCTCAAAGGTTATAGCAGCTCTTTGTTCATTAATTTTAAAAGACTCTATGCTACAGGCCCTCACTCAATAGTGATATACTGACTGCTGAAGAGGCATTCAGAAAAGTTTTTTTTTTAAAGAAAAAACCATAACTTAATTACATGGACTTTAATGAAGCAAGTGGTTTTCCACAACCCACTTCCATAAAAATGGGGTTTCAACCAGAAGAGGACAGGTTCAAACAAGCCTAAAAAAATGAGTTTAAGTCTTCCAGAAATGCAACTTTAGGACTTCAATTCATACTTCAAAGTTAGGACAGACTCTGCCACTATTGCAGAGAAATATGATAACTTTTAAATAAAGATACTAAAATCTGCCTTTGTAACAGTGACTCTAAGAGATTAACATTTAGGCAGTCCTTCTTTGAGCAGAACCTGCATTTTTCATATTTTCATTCCACCAACCAGATTGTTCTCTCTGGAGTACCTGTCAGTGGATTTTTTCTTTCATTAAATGCATTATTTTAAAAACTTTACAACAGAGGCAAGGAATTTAGCTCAGTGGTGCCACCACCTGCCTTGCAAGTGCAAGGACCTGGGTTGGATCCCTGGTACCAACCCCCTCCCCGCCCCCAAAAAACTTTACAATACCTCTGAAGCTTTGCGGAAAACATGCAAATTTACTTTCCATCTTAAAGGCAGATTCTGATAAAAGAAAAATATTTTTATCTAGATTACTAATAAAAATCTCCATATAAGAAAATACTGAAAATTCTACTAATTATATATTCCAGAACTTTGTTTTCTTTAACTATCCACTTCCAACTTAATTCACTTTAGAATAGCTTTTGTTCTTGAAGAAAAGGAACATCAAAGTAACATAATAAGCAATTCAGTTAGTAGAACTCAGCTCTGAGGATATGCCTCTCTTTCCAGCTGAGGGTGTAATGAATCCACTGCCGCACATCCTGGATTCAGAAACCCACCCTGTATTTTCCCAGGCCACACTTGCACATGCTGTCGATCGATGGCTGGGCAGGGGAAGACTTTTCTCAAAGGCACTGCACTCCTCCAATGGACACTTTTGGATAAGCACTTCCCACTGACCTTATCACATTCTCTTGAACTACACTGTACTAGGGTCAATCTTTTTTCCCTCCTTCCCTTTCTCCTGGGATCAAACCTGCAACTCAGTCGGCAGGCTCTTCTAGCCTGCACCCTACTTCTTTTCTATTTTCCTTCCAGAAATTTCCATTCATAAATCTCTTATATGGCTGATTCTGTCCTAGCTTCTCCTTCTTGGAGGAAATACATTATTTCAGTTAACAATATTAGTGTGTTATACTATTCCTCTCTAGTATATAAGACCTTGCCAAGTTTCTACTTTCTCATATTTAATTATTTTGCAAGCAAAGCAATAGAAATTATGATTAAATTGCAGTGGAAAACAACAATTTGTTCTAAAACCCACTGTAATAATTTTAGTTTTGTGACATATATTAGCTCACAGTTGATCTTTCTCATCTTTCTGACAGTTTAGTTAATGACAGACCACGTATATAACAATGACCCCATGGGACTGTGAAGGAGTGGAGAATTTCTAAGGCCCAGTGATGACTTAGCCATGGTAATGCCAAGAGCAATGCATTACTCACATGTTTGCATAAAAGCAAACATATAATTATGGACAATGCATAATACTGGATAATGATTATGCTACTGGTTAATGTATCCTATATTTTTATCAATAGACTAGAGTACACTTTTTTTTTCTTTTTATTGAATTTGTTGGTATATTTTAGGTCTACAGTACAGTAACATTCATTATTGGGATCTTGTACCTTTACATGACAGATCTTGCTTCTCATTTTTTCCCCATACCCCGTCTTCCCTTCACCCCCTCCTCCCTTTCCTATTTACAAAAACTTTATTTCCATTTTTTCATTTTCTCATATTTTTTGCTTTTCCCTTATTCCCTTTCCCCTACCCTTCCCACTTTCCCTACACCTTTAGGAGAGTACACTTCTTTAATTTATTATAAATTAGAGTTTACTGTAAAACACTATGCTATGTTATGCAAGCAACAGCCTCATGTATCTCGTATTTACCGCATCTCTTAATTGTATCATTTTTTACTGTGCTTTTTTCAGCCTCGTGTTGTTTGCTCATCATAGCCATAGGGACATGAGACTGAACGATACAGATCGGATAAAGATAAATAGATGATAGGTACATAGACAAATGGATGAGCCGGGCATGGTGGTGCTTGCCTGCAATCCCAGCACTCGGGAGGCTGAGGCAGGAGGAGCGCTGAGTTCGAGACCAGCCTGGGCTACATAGTGAGTTCTAGGTCAGTCTCAACTACATAGTGAGTCCCTGTCTCAAAAAACAACAACAAAAAAAGACAAACGGATGGATGGATGTGGGGAGAGGAAGAGAGAAAGAGAGGGAGAGAGGGAGAGAGAGAGGGAGAGAGAGAGGGAGAGAGAGAGAGAGAGAGAGAGAGAGAGAGAGAGAGAATAAATGAATGAATGCATGACCTATCCTAGGTGTGTAGAAAGCTACCCCATCTGGGTTTGGGTAGACACACTATGAGTTCCCACAATGATAACATCATCTAACAATGCATATCTCAGAATGAATCCCCACTGTTATGTGAACCATGACTACAGATACTCCTGGTGTCATCGCATCTGTAATTTCAGGCACTTTTCCTTCGTCATATAAAATGAGTCTTGTAATAAGACTATTCAAGGAACTTGACTTTTGGGTAATAATATTCTTATTCTTTTTTGTTTGTTTCTTTGGTTGGTTGGTTTGGTTTGGTACTGGGGATCGAACTCAGGACCTTGTGCTTGAGAGGCAGATGGAACCACTGAGCTAAATCCCTGGCCCAATATTCTTTATTCTTAAATCAATTAGTCACTTAGAGTTGTCAAAAATCACTCCAGGATAACCTCTACTGGTAAAGCATTCCCACTCTGGAATAGAAAATAATTATAGAGATATTCTCAAGTAAGTGCTCAGGTGAAGGTCACCTCAGAGGTGATAGCAATCTATCCAATATAAATTAACAGTTGTTTATGTTAATTACAAAGAAATTCTGTCAGAGACAGTATATAATTCGAGCCAAAAATGAACTTTTACATTTGAGAACTCAAAACACAATTCATGGAGAGTCATGGCTCCTTCTTACTGAGTTCAAATATTGCTTAATCCTTCTGCAGTCCACTAACCAGGCACAGAAACAACTTTGTTATGTGGAGATATTTTTTGTAATTATATTAATCAGAATGAGACCATAGATGCTTAAAGATTGCTATTAATCTTAACACAATTAGAAATTGTGTTCCAATAAACATTTTATGTACTTTTTGTAACTATCCAAACCACTTAATATTTCTTTGTGCATGTTATTTTATGACAATAAAACATTTGCATATGAACACTACAAACTGGTACCTACACTACAATACTAATGAATTAAAGTAGTTATCAAAAGTCAAACTTGTAGACCCACAAAGAACTAATTCAATTTGATTTTAACATTTTAAAAATATTACAGAGTAAGCAAAATTATAAGATTTTAGGAGTTAGATCTCTTTCTGGTTTGGGACACATAATGATATTCAGGAATGACAAGTCCACAAAACATGGTTCTGGGAAATCCTTGGTTTGAGTGATCCATGACATTAGTCTTTGTTAGGATGAGACCAGGATTCGGTCATCAAGGAGGCAGAGCGAGGTGGATCCAGCAGGAAGATAATGCTGTCTAGGTGTTGCGAGTAAGCACCCGAAACTAGGGGAAACTGAACAAAGTGACTCTTACTTAACATTAATTTTTCTTTTGTCATGTTGTTAAAGTCTTAAAAACTCTTAGAACAAAATATATTAATTTTGAGAGATAATAGGTTCAAGGAAGGCCCTGTTGCTCCTTACGCCCTGCTCCCACCCCAGGGCAGTCCTACTAGTGACCATCCTCGTAAGAGGACCGTCCTGCCATATTTTCATGCCACATCGCCATGGCAGAGTTTAAGTTCCATTCAGAATATTGTCAATGTATTTTGTTCAGAAGGAATTTCAATGCTTCCCAGCCTCATAAATATCCAAATAAAGTCTTATTCTCTTGGATTATTATGAAGATTTATTTGCTAGATTTATTTGACAGAATATTCTTTCAAAAGGCCAAAATTCCTTGATCTCTTTTTTCTTTAGGGCTTTACAGATGTTTTCATTATTCTTACAAGAAGCCCAAGGCTCTTAGTGGGGAAAGCGTTCTCATTTGTGGTCTGACTCCCTGTGTCTTGCTATCCTAAGTCTTCTCCATGGCCCTTAAAGGCAAATCACACTGATTATAGTCTTCACAGTTCCTTATGCATCCTCCTCTCCCTGCTTCAGGGCCTTTGAACCTACAACCTTCACTCCTGGTGCACACCCCACACAGCCCAGTCTTCCTGCTTACCAAACTGGCTTTCTTTTTCTCATACTCTACAATTCAATATAAATATAATTTTTTTCCAGGAAACTATCCAGTTTGGACTTCACATAAATCATCAATGACAATGGTATACTGCTTTTTTGTCTTTTTTCAAAGCCACCAAAACACTGGTAGATGTTCTATTTATTGGAAAGACAACGAGGACATCTTTTTCATTTAAAGTGAGGAGACATGATTTATACTTTGAAATCATTTTGTTTTCCCACTAAAATATTTAATAGACTCACTGGATTTTTTTTTCAGTTTTTATTAGCAGGCTGGCAATGTATAATGATTACATTCTTCACACATCTCAGTTTTTTCATCCTCTTTCTCCCTCCCACTTCCTTCCAGGTCTTGAACCCTTCTTACTCCCTTGCAAAAGATCTGTCTCCCTTATCTATCTTTAATTTTGCTCTTTATTTATATTGTGGATTTCTCATATAAAAGAAACTGTGTAATATTTAAATTTGTATGCCCGATTTATTTCACTTAGAGTTATGGTCTCAAAGTGTGTCTGTTAACCTACGAATGACTTCTTTATGGCACAGTAGTAGCCGTGGAGTATATCATATTCTTTCTCTTTTCATCTGTTGATGGACGTATCAGCTACCTTGAAGATTTAGCTACTATGAACTGTGCGATTAAAAACTTAAGTATGCATGAATCACTGTAATATGAGGTCTTTACCTCTTTGGGGAAAGAGATGGAGAAAGGGAATACACGAATCAAATACAATTTCTAGTTTTAGTATTTTGAGGCATCCCTGTAGTGATCTCCATAATGGTACTGGTTTACCTTCCAGCCAACAATGTAGAAAGTTTCCTTTTCCCACACAGACTTGTCGGCATTGGTTATTATTATTTTTTTTAATGGTAACCATTCTTTCTAAAGATGGAATCTCAGTGTTGCTTTAATTTGCATTTCTCTAATGGCCAGCAATGTCGAACAGATTTTCATGGATTTACTGGCCATTTGTACGTTTTCTTCTTAGAAGTGGCTACTATATCAGTGGCCTATTTTTGGATTGGGTTTTTACTTTTGGTGTCCTAAATTTTTTTAGTTCTTTACATATTCTATATATTAGCCCTCTGTGCTAGGAATATCTGGCAATAGGCTGTCTCTTCACTCTGTTGGTTCTTTCATGTACTAAGCTAAATATCAAACTGATCAAAGATTTAAATGTTAAAACAGCAACACTTAATCTTCTGCAAGATAAAATAGGTAAAACTCTGGAAGACAGATGTAGGCAAAGATTTTCTGAAGAAAAAATTGCACAAAAAAATCAAGAATCAACAAACGGAATCATATCAAATTAAATTAAGTGGGGTCAGGGATTTAGGTCAATGGTTTCACTGCCTGCCTCGCAAGCACAAGGTCCCAAATTCAATTCCCAGTACAAAAAAAAAGCATAAGTGAAGAAAATTAAATAAAAAATGAATGGACTTTAATGTCTTGGTTAAACAAACAAACAAAAAAATAAGTTACTGAAATCTCATTTCACTTCCTTTTTTTTTAGTTGTGGTGGCCTTGGACAACTGACAAAAAAAATGAAAGATACCCCTGAGCTTCTACTTTCTAAATCCCTTATACATTACAGAATTATGAAAAATACAATCCTGATTATAACAGATACTGAGGCGGACACACAAGCATTTCTGTTTGTCTTACAACTACATTATCATTTATGGAGAAAATGTGGAGGAAGTAACACATATTAATAATACCAAAGCAAGTCTTCTAAAAAATAAACTCTCCTGGGTCGTTAACTACAATCACATTTCCACACTGACCTGCTACTGTTCACAAGCCACTCTGTTCCTTTACTCCATGAAAACTTTGGTTTAGGTGCAGCTTTAGGTTTACACTCGATTATCACCCGGCCTCCTTTAGCAGCCAGGATCTTTTTCTTCATAGGATTCAACTCAAAAGTCGGAGCCAAAGCTAAAAGGAAATTAAATTATTTTTTTTCTCTTTTTTAAACAAACCCAAATATTCTTTCTATACTATCACATCTTTTATTCCACTTTTATTTGCAGTTAATAGAAAAATGGCCCACCTTGGTGAATGTGATCAGTTATGAACCACTGATATTTCATACCTAATACCTGTCTTCTTTAATGACTTTACATTAGCATAAAATGCATCCCAATTCAAGTGACAATTCTAGATGACTTGATTATAAGCTTACTTACAAGCAAACATTATATACAGATTTAACTTGAAAGGAACATGAAATTCAGCTGTTCTGATTCAGTTTCAAAGGGAAAGTTATAGCCGCGTGTGATGGCACACGCCTGTAATCCCAGCACTCGGGAGGCTGAGGCAGGAGGATCACTGTAAGTTCGAGACCAGCCTGGGCTACATAGTGAGTTCCAGGTCAGTCTCACTACATAGTGAGACCCTGTCTCAAAAAAATCAAAAACAAAAACAAAGTTTCAATGGCAAAAGGAAAGTTATAAAGGACTAGAAGAAACTAAGCAGCACTATAAATATTCAGTATGGTCAAAGACCATCCACTCAGCCACACTTGGAACTGCCCCCAGGCAACACTGGTAAGGCCTGAAATCTCCTAAGATCATCTAGTTTTGCAGAGGCTACAGGCACTAACAAGTTGGATTCACATTTGCCTTTAGGTTGTTTTGGTTCTGAGGCACACTCTTTCCATTCAACAGTACAGCCCCTCCATTACGCCTTTCCTGAACACCAGCTGTGTGCAGAAATTCTTTTTTATTTTTTGGTACCAGGAATTGAACTTGGGTCCTTGCTTTTGCTAGACAGGCGGCAGAACCACTGAGCTAAATCTCCGGCCAGAAACTCTTCAAAATGTTGACAGATCAGAGTCATCTCTGCCTTCAGAACAGCTATACAAATAGCTATAAGAAGAATGGATTCAATCAATGAGCTAATGAGCCTGTGATCCAGCTGTAGTTTGCCCTGCTCACAAAGTATAGAGCAGTAATTACAAAATCAGGATATTCTCTCATAAACGGCCCCTCCACTGACAGCAGCCCTCACTGTCCTCAGGGCCACCCATTAGAAAGCTTTCTCATCTCGTGGTCCTTGTCAACTGGCAGAGGGACACCCTCCATCCACTGAACACATTCCCTGCGCCTTGTCCCGACCTACGCACGTCTTTATCTGGGATAGTCATCTTCTAATCCGGTGATTCTGAAACTTCATCTGTATTTCAGAGTCGTATATGAGTATCCTATAAAAATACCCACACAGTAGGTCTGATGTGGGCCTCAGATTCCACACTTCAATAAGACCTGAGGTGTTACGCCTGGCGCTGCAACTCAGAAGCAGCTTTTTACGACAAGGATATAGTTCATTTCATTGCTACTTTAGTCTGAATATCAATAATCAGCAATACATAACCAACCCGCTTGTGTTGTGTACCTAATATGGTATTTTGTGTAGGCTCCATAAACACGAATATTAGCTGACAAATTACACATAAAATACAAATAAGATTATACTTTTAAAACTGAAGTACATTTAGACATTACAAATTTTTTTGGTTAAGGTTTTAATGAAATAATTTGGTCTTCTCCTTTCTGTGTTTTAATGTTTACATGATATTTTGCCCTCTAACCACAGTATCTATACATTCCTATGTATTTTAGAAGTGGGAAGAAATAGGGAAATATTTTCTCCTTGATAAAGAAGAAGGTGTGATATATACCTTTCCTCCATTTTTGTTTTCCTTGTTATCACCAGTACCTATTCCAAGAATGGAATCTGGCCTAGAGTAAATATTCATTAACTATTTGGTGGAAGAATAAATGAATTAAGTAGATAAGTCAAGAAGAAAAAGAAAGAGAGAGAAAGGTTGAAGCTTTCTCGATACACAAGCCTTAATGTTATACAGTGTAACTAGAGTCGATATATGACCAAGGAATTTGGATTTTAGAGAAGAAAAATAGAGTATGTTCCTCAGTATTACAGTAAGTGACAGGGAAAGCTATAAAAAAGACAGACAATTCTTTCTGAAGACAGTCTTCAACAATTTCTTAACACTCTCTCATTTCCTGTTTTCTTCCAGTGTCAGGTGACATGTAAGGCCATCTTGTTTGAAAGAGTTGCCTCATGAAGCCAGCAAGAACAAAACTGGTCTCATTGTGTCACTGCTTTATGCTTTGAGTAACCGGTTCCAAAAAATGAAGTTTGACTACCAGGATTCATGACTTACTATCTGATTAAACCTGTGACAACTCCTCCCCACACTATGAAGGAGATGGAGACCAGTAAGACCTCTGTGGTGGTAGTTACAATGAAAATAAGGAGAATGCGAAAACCGAGAGGTGCTGGCAGTGAGAACCGGCGAAGTTGACTGGATGTTCCGGACACGGGGAAGGGACATGGGAGAATCTGCTACTCTTTAGAACTGAGAATCTTTGAGGACGTGTGGGTGTGGGAGGGATAGAACAAATTTAGCCTCAGACATGCTAATTTGGGTTGCCTGTGAAGTTACCTAGATGAACCTTTCTACTAAGAAGAAATTATCTTCAGTCTGAAGCTGAGGATAGCTTTCTGGGAGAGGAATTATAGGTCCACTGAGAATGAATGGGAGGAGAAGAAATTAAATAAGTATGTAAACAACAATAATGATCCAAGAATAGTAATATAGAATATGTGAAGGAATGTGGGAAGAAAATTTAATGAAACCAGAGGGCTGGAACTCCAAGAGAGTTGGATTCCTAGGCAGGCAGAGGAAGGAGAGGGAGGAGGATCATGAAGGAGACAGAGGAGTGGTGTGCATGGTATGTGAGCTCAGAGTTACCAAAGAGGAGAAATGGGAACTCGAGAATAAAGCATAACTAGATGAGACAGCTTGAGGGAGTACACACGCGTGTGCACACACACACACACACACACGTGAAGGGAATGGTGTTGACATCACATATCAGAAAAAATAAGAAGAAAACCTGGTGACGTGGAGGCAGGTGAATGGCAAGTTCAAATCCAGCCTGGGCAATATAGCAACTTAGCAAGATCCTGACTCAAAATTTTTAAAAACGGGGGCCTGGGGATGTAGCTCAGCGCAAAACTTCTGGGTTCGATCCATAATAATGGAGAAAAAAGTAAGAAGAGATGAATACAAATACGGCAGAGGAGTAGAGTGAAGAGCAAAGACACTTTCTCCTCTATGAAGAATATGGAAAGGATACACATAGTGAAAAGATAGCTTTGACTGGTAGATGGAGAATTGAAATACTTTTTACAGAAGGCTTTTGGATTTGGTGGGGTCAAGAAGACAGAGTAAAAGCAGAAGTCAGGGTGGGATAAGGGACTTGAGGCCTGGCTTACAGCTTCTGAAAAGCAAAATGATCCAAATAGTAATATAGAATATGTGAAGGAATGTGGGAAGAAAATTTAATGAAACCAGAGGGCTGGAACTCCAAGAGAGTTGGATTCCTAGGCAGGCAGAGGAAGGAGAGGGAGGAGGATCATGAAGGAGACAGAGGAGTGGTGTGCATGGTATGTGAGCTCAGAGTTACCAAAGAGGAGAAATGGGAACTCGAGAATAAAGCATAACTAGATGAGACAGCTTGAGGGAGTACACACGCGTGTGCACACACACACACACACACACGTGAAGGGAATGGTGTTGACATCACATATCAGAAAAAATAAGAAGAAAACCTGGTGACGTGGAGGCAGGTGAATGGCAAGTTCAAATCCAGCCTGGGCAATATAGCAACTTAGCAAGATCCTGACTCAAAATTTTTAAAAACGGGGGCCTGGGGATGTAGCTCAGCGCAAAACTTCTGGGTTCGATCCATAATAATGGAGAAAAAAGTAAGAAGAGATGAATACAAATACGGCAGAGGAGTAGAGTGAAGAGCAAAGACACTTTCTCCTCTATGAAGAATATGGAAAGGATACACATAGTGAAAAGATAGCTTTGACTGGTAGATGGAGAATTGAAATACTTTTTACAGAAGGCTTTTGGATTTGGTGGGGTCAAGAAGACAGAGTAAAAGCAGAAGTCAGGGTGGGATAAGGGACTTGAGGCCTGGCTTACAGCTTCTGAAAAGCATCTGCAGGGTAAGAGACACAGGGACTCATAACTCCCCAGAGTGGCCAGGCTGGGTCCTGTGCAGAGTTGTAGCACCAGACTCCACAGTTACTTGGTTTTGCAGGTGATATTTAGTTGCTCTAATACAGGAAAGGAGTTGGCATGTGTAAATTTTGTTGCATGATTTCAGAAATATTAAAGAAACAATTATATTCCATATTACCTCAAAAGTGCTGTAGAGTTCAGCTTCTTTGTTAAAAATAAAATGAAGCAATTCACATATTCTTGGAATTTTAAACATGGAAATTTTTTAAAGAGTTGCTTTTTGTCTACTGCCAAGTTCTTCAGTGAAAGAAAAGACAATACCATTCCATTTTAAACCACATTTTAAAGTTTTTAACTTTGGCAATTAAGGTAAGATCAAGTGTCGTGTATGAATGCTCTCTCATCTTTCTATATGTTGTTTCCTTGATTATCTTTCAACAAGTTAGAAATCATACTGACCCAAGATCTTCAGTTCCGCATTTGCATAAATGGCCCCATATGTATTCTCTGCTATACACTGATACATTCCGGCATTTTCAAAGGTCACATCATACAGTCTCAGTTCCCCTTTGTGATACTGAAAGCAATAAAAGTAAAACACATGGTTTTGGTAAATTCTTAACAGAAATACTTCATTTAGGTTTGGAATGATGGCATTTCATTGAGGTGTGTTGTGCTCATTGGCCCCCACTGTTACCTAAGATGTGCACAGTAGGATTTTCATGGCATGGGAAAGAAAACTCACTAACCATGCCTGGTGGCTCTTGTTCTACTCATGCTACAGAGAGCTGAGAGTTCACCTTTTCCCCACTTGGACCAGCTCCAAGATTACAGTGAGGATGTAGACAAGGATCCCACTGGTGCTACTTGTCCCCAGGGCCAAAGGTAAGACTTAAAACATCTCTCTTACCTCTGTTTCTGTGGGTTTCAGGAAACAGTGGCAAGAAAAATGGGGACAATTTCAGGTAGTGGAGATGGATAAGGAGGAAGAGGAGGAAATGTAGAACAAAGGAAAAATGCAAGGGAGGGGGTTGGTAAAGGTAAGTTTACAGACAGTTGTTTAAACTAAAAGAAGATTCTTAATGCTGTTTCTTGCTTGAGTTTTTAATGATGTTTTTAAATTCCAGGGCCTGACTACATTTATTCTACTTATTCTCATGCTATATTTATCTCAGGACCACTGTGAAATGTTTGCCTGAATGGAATCAGGGAGAGCAAAGCCCACGAATATACTTACTGCATATCCATTTTTCAGCCATCGAATTGTAGGGATGGGCTTTCCTGTAGCCACGCAAGGCCAGTAGAGGTCACTGCCTATGTCCACCTCTGTGTCATTGATATGTTCTACCCACTCTGGAAATGCTAGAAAGTAAAGAACACCAGAAATGTCAAATGCAAATCTCAATACCCATCAGAATCTCAAGAGAATAAATACTGCACTTCAGCTTTAGAGAATGCATCAGATCTTGTACGTGTCCCGAAACCAACCAGAGAGCCACTGGGCTTGCACTTGCAGAAATCTGTACTCTATGCAAATCACACATTATTACAGAATGAGGTCACAGTAGTTCAATTAGTAATTATTTTCCTATTTGGAATCTATGTTTTGTTGGAAAGCTCACTCACATTAGATTGATTTTTTTTTCAGCAGAAACCTTTAAATATGTCAAAATGACAACTGAGATTTTAAAAAATAATGTCTCAACTGATTATGAAATCATTTTTTCACATTTGGCATAAAATTTAGGATTTTTTTTTTTCCTACTCTCACAGGTATGTATTGTCTTGAACTGATGGAGTTCTCATCTATTAACCAGTTTATATCTTATTGTAGGACTGGAAAAATGGTCTAGTCACTTCATAGTTGAGTGAATTGGAGCACATCTATTATTTTATCAGATCTATTTAATAGCTACAGAACATGCTAGGGACACGAGAAAAAAATGCTGAAAATTTCCCTGAAGAAAAAAGCACTTCTAGAGAGAAAATATGTGAACAATCTAATAGTCTCACTGAACATTTCATTTCTCTAAGTAGTCCAAAGAGATATAAGGTAAATAAATTAGGGCAAATAAGACTGAGTAGGAGGAGAGACTCTCTTGTGGAGAGCAGCACTTTATTTCATTTTTTTTGAAACTGCAAACTTCTGTTTTATTGAATTTAGTACAAAGGTAATATGCACATGTTGTGAGCCATATTTCTTTTTTTTTTTCTTTTTTTTGAGACAGTGTCTCATTATGTAGTTGAGACTGACCTGGAACTCACTATGTAACCCACGCTGGTCTCCAACTCACAGTGATTCTCCTGCCTCAGCCTCCCGAGTTCTGGAATTACAGGCGTGTGCCACCATGCCCAGCTGACGTATTTCAAATATATATAAATTGTGAAACCAAAATATTTGTGTGATCTTACCAAGTGACATCAATATTGTGCATATCATCTTCATAGATATTTTATAGTATATATTCATATATCTTTACTAATCATTGTATTTGTCTCTAACAGGAGGAGCTAACTTTTGTTAACTGAATATTGGCATCTATGTTCACATTGATTGTTACAAGTTTTTGTTTTGTACAAAATCTTAGCAATACTTAAAAGACGAACCCCTTTTCCTGCTTTGGTCTCTCACGGGCAACACATGGGTGTTACGTTACATAATACAATGAGAAGAATAAATAACTGAATCACCTTGATACACTGTATATGTGATTTAACTGTGTGATCTTCTGAGAGTTTGATTAGGGACTAAAGGTAAAACTTAGTAGATCTCACTAATAAAGAAGAAATAATATCACCTTTAAATTACTTCCTATAATTCTCTGTTCTTTCACGTTGATTCTTAGAAGGTATCAGACACGCAATGTGATCAAAACTATAGTGAATTTTTGATGGTACAGAACTGTTCCTATAAAAGGGACCTGGGTATTAATCCCCTTCAAAATATTTTCTCTCACTTTGAATATGATATTGAGGCTGCCACGATGTCCTGAATCAGTTCAAAACATTTACCTTTTATGGTCATGTGACTTTAAGAGAGAGCTAAATTGGGCCAGGGATATAGCTCAGTGGCAACCAAAAGGTCTTGGGTTTGATCCCCGGTACCAATAAAAAAAAAAGCCACAATGTCAGATCCAGTAAATAAGGTGGATGAGGACACACAATTCATTTTTTAGGATGTTTTCCTTTGAGTAGCACTCAGCAGCAGTATTCATCATATTTTTGGTCATATTTCTTACAGACTACCAAGAACGCAACTATCAATCTATTGCTATTAACTGAGACAGCAAAGGTATGAACTTATACTGCTGCAACTCAGAGTTGTCTCTGTGGTGAATTAACTAAGGGGCAACTTGCAACACCCAGCTGCACTGAATCAGCGTGGTCTGGGCGTGGAAGACCCACCTGAGGATTGCTGCCAATGGCATAAAAAGAGAACTGGGGCGGAAGATTTGGGGCTGTTGGTTTTCTAGGAGAAGCTTGCTGCAGTTGGTTTCCCTGATTCAAAACTGGCATTTCCCATCAGAGGAGGAGCTTGGGTCCTCGCTGTGGCTGGGAATGGCTGCTGTTCTCATCAGGTGAGCTCCGATCATCACCATGAGAATCACTTCCTGGCTCCGATGTAGATCCCTCAGCCTGGTAGCACAAATCCTTCATCCCACCAGCACAGGTTTTCTGGCTTCTAGGGCTGGACTTTGGGCCTTCTGAGTGCAGATCCTCAATAGGGACAAGCACGAGACACTGCCATGGGCTCTGGGCCTCTGGCTGGACTCACAGAGACACAGACTTGGACTTTAGACCGTCAGCTGGACTTGTGTGGGACACTGCTGTGGGATCCAGGCCCTTAGCTAGAGTTTTTGTGTCTCTAGTGTGTGGCTAACCTCTTGCACGCCTCCGCATTTGACTTTTTTTGGGTAACTATTATAAAATATCCTATAAGTTATGTGTCCTGTGTTAAATCGATTCCCTTACAAAATCTTGACTACAGCAGTCACTTACATAGATGTAAAATAAATACTTCATCTTTCTGTGTAATATACATACATTTATAAGATATATAACCTTTTAACAATATTAATTATGATATCCCAGTTTTACAAGTAAGGAAAGGGCTCTAAGACATTGATGAAATTTATAGAAAAGTAAAATAGCTACCTTGAACATAAATTCTTGCCTGGTGTTTATCCTTTCCTCTGATGTTCTCAGCCTCACATTCATACAGGCCTTCATCTTCAAGCTGAATATTGAAGATCTTGAGGACAGCCCCAGAGGTGCTGATCTCAGCAGTGCTTGGCATTGGTTCTAGAACTTTCCGCCATCGGATATCAGGAACAGGACTTGAAATGAAAGATACCAGAGCTAAAGATCCACAAGAGTTAACAGAAAATTATCTTACATTTATAGCTAAACATTCATATCACATATTTCTTAAGAGGGTACAAAAACTGATATGACTCTAGGTACAGTAATGAAAATGACACTTACTTTCCAAGTGCAAAACACTCTAGAGTCACATTTTGGCCCATCAGTGCATATATGTCCTTGAATTGAACTACAATATCAGCAGGGTATGGTTTTGTTGTTCCTGATATTAAAAGAAATATAAATATTGATGAATTACTAACCTAAATAGCATTTTTTAACATAGTGATTTCTGCAGGATTAGAACCACCCCAATACAGAAGGCTTTTCCCAAAGCAGGTGCCAGTCATGTCACAATATAACAGTTTGTTTGCTTATACATGATATGTATAAGTATGAACTCTATCAAGTGTTTGCAATAAAATTGCCTCATTCTGATAGCTTTATAATCATTCTGACTCCGTTCACTACAATAATTCAAGGCATCAGTAAGGAGCACCAAATATATGTAAGGCATTTTGATCAGTGCTATACAGGTTGAGGAAGGTAGAGAAAAAGAAAGGAAATGAGGAAGAATGGAAGGGAAAGAAGGAGGAGAGTAGAAAACAAATAGGCAAAACAAAAGAAGGAAAGAAAGGAAAGGTATCCACAAAATGAAGGCAAATAGGAAATGACTTGGAAGGGACAGAGGCAAAGAAGGAAAAATGTATTCAGGCAACACTGCTCCATTCCACAGATATTTTATGTCATTTATTTAGCAATTAATTTCTGAAATGTGTGTTATTCCCTCAATCACATAAGAAAGATGTATAGAAAGGCCAAATATACTGTTTAGGAACATGAGTACATACTTTATACTGTATTATGGTAAAGAAACAAGTAAATCCACAATGATATGATATACAAGAAAAAGTAAAAATGTTGACTGAAAAAGTAACAGCTAAAGATAAGATGTCAAGGCTGTGAAAATCTCATAAAAGATGGAATTGAACTGAACCAGTTCTGGATGAGGAAGGAAACCACACTGTACCAAAACTCTAGGACTTGTCAAACAACTCTAAATAGTCTTCAAACCATATTAAAATATATGCATTTGAAGATCGGCTTGCATTTACAATGCGAAATGCCTGAAAACATGATATTAAAACTTTTGAGATTAATTTTCTTACTGAGTAAAACCAATGGGATTTGATTTTTTTTTCTTAAGTAATACAGATCTTACCTCTCTGGCTTTAGTAGGAGGCCTTGTTGGCAGTTTTAAATGATGCAGCATGGTGAAGAGAAATAGAGAAGCCAGAGATCTAAAGGCTGTATCATTAATTCAGACAAGATAGGTGAGATCCAAACCCAAGATACAGTAACAAAGAGAACATGAAAGAAGAAATGCAAACTATATTTAGAGACAGAATCACTACAAATGCTCTTTAGGTCAATGTTCCTCAAGAATGAGGGCCCAAGCATCAGAACCACCTGGGACGTCCAAGGAACTTGCAGATTCCTCAGTTCTATTCCAGGACTGCTGAATCAGGGTGCCTCCATGTCACCCTTAGCTCAAACTTCTCAAGATGCTAATTCGAAACTACTGAAGTCTTTGTTCTGAGGATCAGGGGAAGAGAGGAGCTGATGAATGAAAAATTTGCTTTGTGCTCAGAAAAAGTAAAACGGCATTGCCAAATGACTCAAGGACACCAGAAGAAGAGGTTTAATGGGGAGGGTTTAATAGATATGTTCTGAACACTTTGAGATTAACATCCTTGACAGCCTTTTGTGCGAAAAACTAAGGGTACAGGTGGAATTAAGATCTAAACACAAGTTTTAAAGATGTAGTTTAAGGTCATCTGAGTAGGGAGACAATTCAAAGGGTAAGTTAAGTGAGAATATTCAGAAAAGAGATATCTAAAAGGAAAAATATCTGGTAAAAAAAAAGCTATATTAAATTTTGCTGAGCAGAAAGGTGAGGTGGAGTACAGGAAATTACAAGAAACAAAAATTCACAAGGAGCAGATAAGGTGATGTCAAAGACCAACAGTTAAGGACGAACAGTGTCCTTAGATTGAGTAAACAGAAAGTTTTGATGACTCAAGACTGTTTGCACTGAATATAAAAGAATGTGCAGAGAGAATGGAGAAGAAGAGACATTGAAGATCAGATGAGAAGAATAACAAGTACCATAGTGTGAAGTCTCTGACTGAATCAAGTGGGATGTGAACCAGAGCAACTAGAGGAGTTAGCTTGAATGAGGAAATATTTCTTCCATTGACATAGGAAATAAGAAAATAATTAAAGTATAAACATGCAAGTCAATTTCTAGAGGAAAGAAGGAAAGATGATAAGAGAATTTGTGGTGTCTCCTTTCTCACTCTGTGAAGGAGAGTATTTAACACTAAAAAGATAAAATAGAGCCGGAAAGACCACACTATGTATTGAATACTAATGACGCGACTGTTTCCTTAGGGAGAGAAATCTGGAATCGCAGAGACGTGATGGCATTTTCCCTGTTGTCAACTATAAGTGGGGGTAGAGGTAGGAACCAAGCATGTGTCTGTCAACATGGAAGCTATTTCCTCAGATATTTGCAATCAGAAACATTAATGTGAAGTAAAAACCATACACTGTGATCGGACTCTATTAATCATCACTGATTTTTACAAAGGAAGTCAGTTGACTTGGATCTGGGGAAAAGGACAGTCTAACCAGGAACCACACAGGGTGGCATTCTATGCTTATTCAGAGTAGAAAAGGCAATTTATTTACCTACTTGCACCATATAAATAGCCCTTAAAAAGACAAGAATAACAACCCCACCAATTCTGCAATCACTATTGTTTGTTTTGATCTTAATGGTTTGTTCTGTTCATGAACTTCAGAAGTAGGAATGGATATGAAACAAAAATTAGATACCAGTGATCCCTGCTGTAGCCAACCTACTGGCACTGGAATTATGAATCAGTTTCCTTATGTGTTTCCTGTGCTAGAGGCTGCTAATCCAAACTCAAAAGTCTCAACTCAAAGAAAGGGCTAAATCCTTTCACCCCACCCCAAGTGCGTACGCTTTGTATTCTTCCGTCTGGGAACCTGGCACATCTCACCATCTCAGTGTTCCTTCTCATGACTCTAAGTTCCCAATGAGCAACCTTGTAAAACAACCTTGTAAAAACAGCGTAACAAATACAATACTTACGTTCAGGTATCGGAATGAGTGGGATGAATTTGCTGAATACACTCTTTGTAATAGAAGGACTCGATACAAAGCAGGAATAATTGCCTTTGTCAGAAGCCTCAACATTCGCAATATAGAGGTTTCCATTCGTCTGAGACACAAATCTTCGTTTGTCCATGGTGATAAACACTGGAAACTCGTTTAGAAGCCAGCGGTAGCTGAGATCATCTATAAGAAAATATTGTCCACTAAACAATGCACTCTTCAAAAGTAAAGATTCTGTTTTCTAATCATTAACTGTCACAAAATAGAGTCGAGATTGTGGAAGAGGAAAATACTGGAAGAAAGCTGAGGCACTTTGTGGAAATTTTCAAATAGCTACCATAGTTTTCACTAATATAAGTAATATATATCTGTTATATATCTGTTTATGTATCTCTTAGTTCATAAACTACTAACATTCTTACTTCCATTTTATTGATGAACTGAGACCCAGGTTAAATAACTGTCTCAAAGCTTCACAACCATTAAGTTGAATAGCATGTTTAGCATTTCAAGAACACTAAGAACTGGGTTTTTTTTTTTTTTGGTACTGGGGATTGAACTTGGGTCCTTGCACTTGCAAGGCAGGCCACCGAACCGCTGAGCTAAATCCCTGGCCCTGGGTTTTGAATTTGGATGTCACAATTCCAAAGCCTATCTATCTTCCCCAAGCATTTTATAAATAACTTCAAGATGATGTGTCATATGTGGATTTTTTTCCCTCTCTGTAATCCTTTTTTTAAATTATAGAAATGAGTCTATATTGCCAGGGATTTAGCTCAGTGGTTCCAGTGCCTGCTTTGCAAAGCACAAGGACCCGAGTTCAATTCCTGCTACCACAAAAAAAAAAAAAGAAAGAAATGAGTCTATATTACCTGCTCTGGTTATACTGAAAAGTAAAAACCAGGCCGGGGATTTGGCTCAGTAATTCCACTGTCTGACTTGCAAGAGCAAGGCCCCAAGTTTGATCCCCGGTAACAAACAAACAAACAAAAAAGAAAAGTAAAAATCACAGAAATGGAAGAACATGTTAATAGTTTTCTGAAATTTTAGGAAATATGTCAAGTGGTTACTCGTAACTACACAAATTCCTTTGACTATACACACTAGTTCAGGCAAAAACTGAATTTCCTCTTTTAATTTGCTGCTTTTCCGGTAGTAGTTTCCAGCCCTGCTTTGAGCAACGACTCCTTGGTAGTTACTGTACAAATATACAACGTGAAACTATGGGCAGTGCATACTTCCTTTTAAAGTTTCTTGACCAGGTGAAGAGAGATGCTTCTAGGAAGAGAGAAATGAGAAATTTCTCTAGATCAGGCTAAATGGGGCTTTCTATGCAAACGGTAGAAAGGCATTCAGTCTTCTTTTAAGGATGAAAACATCATAACGAGCTACTGTTTTGCTTCAAGGAACTGAAGATAACAGATAAAATTGCCACAAGGAGTGTGGAAGAACAATGATGATGAAAAATGAAAAATGCACTGTATAAGATCTGCATAACTGGGAATAAAAACCCAGCTATTTGATTTAGGTTTGGATTAGCTTTTTAATATTCTCCATCAATATATGATATCAGAATGTTTGAGATGATTATATCATTTTTATTTTAAATCATTTTTTTAAAGAAGCAGGTATGTTCATGTGAAAAAGATGGGAAATAGGGTAGTATTAATACAAGGAAAAAACCCTACCACATTCAGCCTCCAAAGGGGAGTTATTGTTAACACATCTCTTTCTAGGCATTTGTATTTACAAATCATTAAATTATTTTAATACATTACTACTGTGCTGATTGAAAGTCATAGAAGAGTTAGGAAAAGAAGAAACTTGGAGATTTGTTTCAATTTCTGAAATAAGGGCATCCTGGGATTCAGCAAGAAGTGTCATATTTAGAAAGTATTGTTTTTTGTCTAAACTGATATTTAGAGTAAATTTTAAAGAAGACTGCCTTGTCCTGATTGAGAAATAAATTTTCCTTTTCTCAACTAAAATGAAACTCAATGTTTTGCAATAATTTCTGGTAATAATTAAAACAAAACAAAAGTTAATAAAGTATGTTCATTTCCTTACAGAAAAGGGAATTGTACAATCACACGATACTTTTAAGGATGCTGTACTGAATAAAATATATTTGGAATAGTCTGAATACTCAATGATTATATAAATACAGAAACCTGGACTTTAATGCTAGATATGACTTCTGTTATGTTCTTTAGTCACTCTATCAATTTTTCTTAAATTTAAGACAATTTTTTTTCTGTTCTCCACTCATAAAGGATGTGTAAAGAAAAATACATTGTGATACTTGAACTTTAAGAATAAAAGCTAGTCAGAGAAGTTGTGGTAGTGGTGGTTGTATACTACACAAAAAATATTTCCAATTTTCCATTAAACCAGACATATACAGTCTTTGCTTTTGTGGGACTTGTAACATAATATATCTAACCACCGAATGAAGTCAAGGTTGTGAAACCCTATAAAAGGAGGAGCTGTAACCCAGTGCGTCGTCGACCCAGGCACTGCTTATGTGCGATTGACCCTTATTGATAAGTAAATTTGTTATTTTACTTCCATTCTGTTGCCTCTCTGTGTGTCACTTAATGATTCCTTCTGTAACAATAGTACAGCAAAAAGGAGTCAGGATTGATTTTCCAACCATCCTCCCAGCCCACCACCATCACCAAATCTGTACCACTTCTCCAATGCTAGCGAGCCTAACTCTCTAATTTAAGAATGAGATAGGGCTGGGGATTAGCTCAGTGGTGCGGGGCCTGCCTCGCAAGTGCAAGATCCTGAGATTGATCCCAGGGTACCAAAAACAAACAAACAAAAAAAACAATAAGATAATTTTGGCAATTAAAAACTAACCCATGACTCAGTTCTCTAGAGGAATTATAGCTGTATGTTCTCTTGGACTCTGTAAATGATATACCAATCATTTTGAAAAAGCTATCATGTTTTTTTCCTTGCACTATAGACTGGATTAAATAATAAACTACCCTAAAATTGATTTTTCAAGAAGAGTAAGTGCCAGCACAAGTTTAAGAAATGCTTCTTTTATCAATAGATATAGAAGCTTTCTTCACATTGCCCCAGGGGAGTCTGGATCATACACATTACGGGGAAATTGGTTTCAGCCAACTGCAGTGCATTTAGTTCATTATATCTACATCACTTATCTACCCTTCTAAATAATATATCTTTCTCCTAGAAATACATTTGAAGTCCTTTAGTGTACTCTGAAGGATTAATGTATAAACAAACTTTTTAGAAGATTTTCCTGTCTTTTTGAAACTTAGCTTTGACAGGACATAAATTTGCTATACCAATAAAATCATCATAGCTTCTGATCAGTGATACGGCAAATTATAAATTAAAAACATGTTTAGAAAGAAATATCTCAATTTATAAACATTGTGAATTAATATCTTCTGTACTCTGATCTCCTACTCTTGTCTATTGTTATATTGATATTTTAAGTCTAATGCTACTATTCATCATACCAGACAGTATTTTCTTAAGAGTATTCCCAGCTGGGTGTGGCGGTACACGCCTGTAATACCAGCACTCAGGCTGAGGCAGAAGGATCGCTGTGAGTTCAAAACCAGCATGGGCTACATAGTGAGTTCCAGGTCAGTCTCAACTACATAATGAGACCCTGTCTCAAACCACTAAAAAATAAAAATAAAAAAAGAGTATTCCCACTTTCTTTCAATTTAATATTCATACTTGTGTCCACTATTAGGCATTTTATATTTTGTCAATAGTATCCACCTTTGCTGGGGATTTGGTTCTGTGGTTCTGTTGCCTACCTCGCAAACGACAAGGTCCCAAGTTTGATTCTCTAGTACCAAAAAACAAAAACAAAACAAAACCCTCCAAAATAGTATCCACCTTTGAAATAACTTTTTTCTATTCTATCATATAAAGATCTATGAAGTATAGGAAGTCAATTTGTGTGTGTGTATGTGTGTGTACTGGGGATCGAATTTAGGACCTTGCATTTGCAAGGCAGGTGCTTTGCCACTGAGATAAATCCTCCACAAGAAGTCAATTTTTGATGGTGATATTGATGGGCGATTAGCTGAGAACAAAACATTATGTTCTCATTTTAAGGAGTTTAGGAGTTTAAGTCTTATGAATTTATGGTTTACTGCAATACAAAAAAAAAATCTAAAGAAGTTTATTTATTCATGGCAGTTTGCTGTGTCGTGCAATCAATTTAATGAACAAATTTGTTTTCTCTTTCATTCTTTTATCCCATCATTCCTCAAAATTCATTGAGCCCTTCTTTGTGCTAGGTACTAGGCAATTAGCTATATATCAAATGCTACTATAAAATCGAATAAATATTTGTACTGAAATGCACATTTGTGACTGTGCTTGATAAATAGCATATTTCAGATCACAGATTTTGCCTTAAAAAACAAAAACAAAAGCAAAACAAAACAAAACAAAACATCTGCAGAGCACTGTCAAGTCCACAGGAAAATCTAACGGATTATGGAAGATGAGCTGTTTTATTCTAGATCTTTTTCTTATATGGAAATAATTCTGTATAACCACGAATCAGATATTTTTAGGGTAATGAGATGGAGTAAATACTAATAAATGCAAAAGTTGAATATACTTACACGTATTTTATTTCATATTAATCCACTGAAATCACTTATCCTATTTACTACTTACAAACACCCTAAGAAATTATTACAAGCTCCATGTATAAAGAACCTGCAGGAGTTATTCCCCCCTCCTTTTAAATAGGGAAATTAAGGTGGACATTTCTAAGTTTACTTCACATAGGGAGGACGGCTTCCCAAGCCTCTAGGACATGACAAGGGTAAATGGGTGGATAGGCAGCACGCTTCGAGGTTCAGAACCCAGTGACCCATTTCTTTGCGCCATCAATCCAAATGAAGTTCCAAGTGCAAAGCACAAGACCTTAGTTTAACAGCATTCACAAGAAGGGAGATTCACGGCAGAAATATGGCATATATTAACTGATGTTAACTGATTCCATAAAGTCTGCTGAGGAAGAAGTTGGCTCTCTCGATTTAATGGCTTTAAGTTTCTACTAACCAGGTTTCACTCATGGACCATGGAGATCTTTGCTCAGCGCAGCAGTTAAAGCGCCACAGAGACTGAAATCAAGACTTCTCTCAGATAATTCTCAGATCCTGCTTCTTCCTCCCCCTTTCTACTCCACTAATTTTCTAGGTTAGTACCTGTAGTCCCAAAGCCTGGAGAACAATTTGGATGACAATAAGTTGCAGATTCATTATTTCTAACTCAGCTGTCACCCCTGATCTCCAGACATGCAGAACTACCAAATCGATTTCCACTTGGAAGACACCCTGCCTTTAAGATGTTCAAACCTACTCCTTCTGCTTCAGTAATGGTGGTTTCATTAGTCTAGGAGCTCGTGATAAAAATTTCCACGCTCTCTCTGCCTTCTGGGATTCCTTGGCTCCAGTATTGCTCGTCTATCTCACACACAGTTTACCAGGAAGTCCTGGATCCTTCTTGAGAACATATCAAGAATGTGACTAAAACATATACCAATATACATTAATGTATAGTTAAATGGAGAATTAATATATTCTATTAGTCTAAAACATAGCCATATCCGTAATTATCCTCCCCTCTCCACCGCTACCCATCTGGCATACTTCCAAACTGGTCTCAGGCTTCCGCCTCAGCCCGCCCCTAAGTCCTGTCTTAAAGCTGCTGCAGATCTTCGTTTTATAACTCGAGTCATGTCATGGGAGTCCTCCATCCAAACCCCGCTCAAAGTAAAAGCTGAAGTAGTTTCTAAAAGCTACAAAGCCCCCTGTGATACAGCTCCTGTAGTACTCCCCTGTGTTCTTACTGTTCTCTGCTCTTCTGCAGTCACCTGGCCTTCTCTGGACATTTAATGAAAATATAATCCAACATATATATTATCTGTAAACTGAAACTGTAAAATATCCTTGGAGTCTGGACCGAGTGATTAGTGAGCCTACCAAGAAAGTATCTACAAGTGCTAGTACAGGCCATATTGCACTGGAACAAATATAACATTTCACTTAATTAATAACGCTCCGCATAACATATCATTATTGCTAGAAAAATGAAAGAGGGCTTATCTCATTTCACCAGCCCTTACTGTCACAGAGAAACCAAGTTTACCTGGAAAGTGGTAAGGAGGGTCACAGAGCAGTACCATTCCTTTGCCTTCTTTCACTCTGACTTCAGGGCGTTCTTCAGGTGGAAAAGGATCCAGATCTAATCACAGGAGGGAAATGGGAAAATATTCACTCTCTGCTCAATACAAAGAGAAGTACTCCGGAAGAGTTCTAGCCTGGGCGACGAATCCACAGGTGTGTGTTCCGTAGAGACTGCAGAACAGCTCTTTCCACCTACAAACTTTTTTTTTTTTTTCTTACACAGAGGGAGAATCTCAGGGAAATACAGTGGGACCAGACCAAACGAGAGGTCTAACACGGATCGTGCACAAAGAGGAAACCTTAGCAGAGTGGACTCATGGGAAGGATACTTCTCCTCTTGCGGGAGGACTCGGGGAAGGAATACAAGTGGAAGGCAGGACCCTAAAAGAGTATGAAAGGAACCAACCTCCTGCTCCTTCTCAAATTCTAGGTTTGCCTCAGTTATGATTTCATTTACTCTCTCTCATGTTTTAGCAGTGTTTATAGCACCTTTATCATTTCCATAGCTACTCACATATCCCTTGTCTGCCTCAGTCTGGAGAAACGAATGGAGGTGACTGAGTGTCTGCGACCTGGCTCAAGAAAGATCTTCAAGGGAAGAGCAGGTTCACTTTCCTTTTAGAACTGATTTCCTTGGTCCTTTCTCATGGAATTGAGACATCAGCAGGGTCTTCTGCCCTCAGAAAGCAGACGCAATAACCGAACTCTAATTCTCCGGCATGGAATAAGCCAAAGACTTTCATTCTTTTCTGTGTATGTGGTAATCACATTTTGCTTGATTTTTTTTATATTAAAGTAATTTGAATCTTCATTTGTTTCACTGATACTTTGTTTTTACACTGCCTTTCTTCCTGTTTTTTTAATCTGTGATCCACAGCCAAAGTTTAATATATAATTTTCATTCCCATCAATATGTTGCCCGCTCTGAAAATCTATTTTAATCATTAACTGTTACATTTTTTTTTATACCAGGGATCAAACTCAGGACCTCGTGCTTGCGAATCAGGCCGTGGAACCACTGAGTGAAATCCCCAGTCCCATTAACTTTTTAAAAAGAGAACCAGGAAAGTTTAAATTATTTTTGGAAGTGGGTGTGGCTCACTCTTCAGAGGCCCAGAAAGAGCGAACATGAAGACAGAGGGTTCATCGGCACAAATAATGAAAACATGAGTTTTTCCTCAGTGTGTAAAGTTGTTTTATTGGCAATAATAAATGTTAGATTTCTACTTCAGTACACAAATAGATGACTGACGTTATGGATTCCAATCACTGCCCAAATTAGAGTTGCTTTAGTAGATTTCTTTGCCATGAAGATTACTTCTCAGAAGACAAGTGTTCATATTAGCTTAGTTTTTGGTTTAAATAAGTTTATAAATGATGTAATATATTTCTTTTGATTAAACATAGAGAAATAATATGTTATACACTGAGAATTTTTTACAGGCTTTGACTGGAGATCATTTTGCAGAGATGGTATTTTATACGCTTCCAGTATTTGGAAAAGAATTAGTCAAAAGGAATTCATGTAGTTTAAATATTGATAAATTAATATCCAAATAATGTACTTGTCTGATTTCTTAATAAGTTGGAGGAGGTGGGTGGGACGGAAATTACATTGTGCAAATGAGTAGTGATCTCTACATTCTCCACACAGAACTGCTAACTCTAACATTGTTACTTTGATATATGTATAATGAAGTATTACTGTTTATAAAGTTGCTGTTTGCTTTAAAAAGTTGTCATGTAAGTATTTTCTGTATGTTGTGCCAACAGGTTAGAACATTAATCTGCTGAAAATTTTTTTGATTTAAGAAATTTTCTGTAAAGCTAGGTATGGTGGCACATGCCTGCCCTCCCAGCACTCAGGAGGCTGAAGCAGGAGGATCACTGTGAGTTCAAGGCCAGCCTGGACTGCACAGTGAGACCCTGTCTCAAATAAAAAAAATTTTCTGTGGGAAAAAAAAAGAGGCCCCTTTGCATTGATATTTCCAGTCTTGATGTTTTCACCTGAATAACGTCCTAGTCCTCGGTTCTTACTCAACATTGCAGCCTGGATAACCTCTTGTTGTCATGTGTATTTCTAGCCTTGAAACTGGCTTTTCTTGTTCCCAACACATTTTTAATAAGAACAGAATTTTGTCCTGTTTGACAAGACATTCCTTGGAAAGTATACTTAATTTTCTTTCCTTTAGTGCAACGCAACTTGTGAATTCTTTCCTCAATTTTAGTGGAGATTATTGCCATTGATTTCATCACACTAACTTCACCTTACTCTTCCTTCTAGCTTTGTCCCTAGTGATCATTACCATGTTAGATTTCTTAAAACATCATTTGAATCTTAAACAATCCATACTGCAAAAGATATAAGTGCTGAGATAAAAATCACAAACTGGACATGATCTGGTCTACTTCATCTCCCAAAGCGTCATTTTCTTTCAGAACTTACTTTTAGCTCTCAGCACAATGGTTCTCAATCGTGTTTTCATTATTAACTCCCACAAAGTGAAATTTTTCATTTGACATAAGGATAAATCAGTGAAAAAATAATTGGGTTTATTCCCACTAAGAGATATTAAACACTGAGGAATAAGACCTTGTCAAGTACAAATGAACTTTGGAGAGCCACAAACCATTAAGTTGTAATATATGAGAAGCTTCTTCCCTAAGGACCAATTTCCCCCTCTTTTCATTGCTGTCACTGAAAGTATGTGGTTTAGCAGTTTTACAGATGCTGGTTTTCACAGCCACTGAAGACCCCACATAACTTGGTGAAAGTCTATTTTACAACAGTATCTTTCACTGTTTTAAGTGCATTTAAACTACCCTGCATGGCACGGCTGGCTTTTGAAAGTTTTTCTTCACTGCACACATAAGGTGCACTTGTCTTGCAAGGTCCACCCCATCTGCGGTGCCTTCCTCCAATTACTCCCCCTTCTAGATGATTCTTACTGAGCTCACAGAACAGCACTCATTGATATCTACCTCAGATGTCACGACAGAACTCCTGTATTTTAATTTAAAACTCCCCCACCCAATGCACGATGTGCCTCACATCAGCAACCTGACACCTGTGCGGAGAGGAAATGTGTCTTTTCCCACAAACACACAAGAAGAATTCCGTGCATCTGTGTGAAGGGTGAGGCGGGGGCCTCTCTTTACTGGGAAATATAAGTACAGGGATTTTAATAGAAGAAAGAAACCAAGAGTGGATCATCACAGAATTAGCCTTTTAGGTCATGTAAATTTTTATCAGTAACTTCAGAACTTTTAACTTGCATTTTACCTACATAAACCTGCCCTTTTTACAGTGACAGTTACTTACATCCAAAGCTGAGTGTTGCTTCAGTACTTCTGACCATCCCGTAGTTATTAGATGCCAAGCAGTAGTACACTCCGGCATCTTTCTGTTTGTCAGGGTTGCTGATGACCAGATTTCCTCCGACCATACTGTACCGATCACTCGTCAGATCAACATCCCCATTATTCATTCTCCATCTATGGGGAAAAGATACGTCATACCGAAGGGGGAGGCCTGGAAACTGTAACGGCAGGAATGTCACGAAATAATTTGGGTACAGCTGCCTGTGAAGTCAGATGTCAGATGATGAAGAATGTGATTCGGGGTGGGTTTTCTTCGTGTCCTGTATTCCTATGTGGGATCGTGATGTATAATTTAGCTAACGTACAGAAAGAGAAATGTTAGACTACGTGACCTATTTTCCTCTTTGTAAGTGAGATGTTCCAAATGACAGATATTTTGTTGGGTTTTACTCCACAAGTTTCTTAATTGATAAACAGGAGTTATAATTGATAAACATTTACATGCTTATAGTTTCATACATATATAGATATGCTATATAAAATATTAAAATCATAACAGTGGAGTAATGAAAATTTTAAAAAAATCAATATTTGATTCCAAATAGCACAGTATTTTTTTTTTGTACGGGGTATGGAATTTGGGTCCCTGTGCTTGTGAGGCAGGAGGCAGAATCACTGAGCTAAATGCCCAGCCCCTTGCACAGTAATTTTTTTCAATGAAGCAAATGGAAATCAGGGCTCTGCTTAGTAATTGGCACATTTGTACCACTAGAGGGCAATCACACCACTAGAAAATGATAAAATTCTTGGGTCCTTTGATTCCAAACCACACAGAAATTTGTAAAGCCAGATTTTCCTCATCCTAGAGGTAGAGGCCAGGTGTGCCTTTTCTAATTATTTAGGAATTAATTTTAATAAAAGGATTTTCCTCTACCACATCATGCTACAACAATGTAGGTGAGACATATTATGTATAATCAGACCACTAACTATGTTATAATAAAATCAACTAGCCAGGGGTGGTGGTGCACTCCTGTCCCAGCACATGGGAGGCTGAGGCAGGAGGATCACTGTGAATTCAAGACCAGCCTGGGCTACACAGTGAGTTCTAGGTCAGTCTCAACAACATAGTGAGACCCTCTCTCAAAAAAACAAAACAAAACAAAAAATCAACTAGAAAAAGGGATCTAACTTTCTTGGTGAAATGAGAACAATGCATGTGGAAAATAATTTTTAACTAAGATGAGCCCCTGAATTATTACGTATCAGGGTTTACCTGAGAAAGTCATAAGAGCCATGGTCTAAATGTTCAAGTACTAGCCCATGGACACAGGACAGTTCTGATTAGGAAAAAGATTATGTTTTTTTCTTTTTTTTTCAAAAAAAGCCTGATGATTTTAGAATATTTTTTATTAAATCAGAGATACCAGAATATTTTTAGTTATACCCTTTACAGTGTAGGTGGTAATTTAAAAAGTAAGCATAGAAAACAAGGCATTTTCATTTTAAAAACTACTCACTTTAAACTAGTGAATACATAGCCCTGTCCTCCTTCTTAGTGGTGGTGTTGTCCCTGCCTGAAGGACCCACTACTGTAGCTTATACATTTCAAGGCAGCAGGTTTTCTTGTTCAGTTGCTCCAATTATTGGGGTCCCCCCACCCCAGTTATATTGGTTCCCAATTATTTTTGGCCTTAACTTTCTCATAAGAATCTAATTCTGCCTGTGATAACATATGAATAATATTTCTCCTTGGGGTAAGTTCACTAGTCTGTTTTCAGAAACATTCACCACTGTTGTGATCCCTCTTGCCCTGCTTAAATAGTTTTTATTGTGGGGCTTGTTGCTTTGCAGATGAGAATGAGCTAAGGGGAGCCTCAGGATGCTACGTGGGAGGTGAGGCTCACTCCTGTACCTCTTGCCTCTCAGGATGTTGCCATGAACAACACATTATCTCAGAACATGCTACAGATATAAAACTACTGTGTGAGTGACAAGCTGCATGATTACCAAGGTTAATATGGCTTGCTCTGAATATTAAGTAAATTTTTAAAACTTCAAGTGTTCTTTTCTGTCAGACGAGCTGTACCATGAGATAATTACGTTCCTTTTCTTTTTTCTCTTTCTGAATGCAGGCTGCCTTCCTAACAGGGTTCGGCATCCCTTCCGGCTCCCTGCTTTAATGGGTGGGGGATTTCAGCACCCACGCGACCTGGGGAAGGAGTGGGTGATACATCTACCAGGCAAAGTTTTCTCCTTAGTGTCTCTGCCAGGTTGGGGAAGGGGGAAGTAGACACACAGCTTTGTCTGGAGCGTGTTTCTGGAAATCTATCCAAGAACAGCCCCTTGGGTTTGTGGTCCCCATTCCAGCATGGAGGCCAATTTGCTAAGTTTCCTTGCAGGATTGTCAAGTATGGGCTATCACAGAATAAGTATCACCAAAATGACTTTTTAGAGCCTATTTGTCTGCATAGATAAATACTCAGAAGGTTAAATGCTTCTTCTTTGTTTTTTTTTTTTTTTTCGTTTTTTGTTTTTTTTGAGTCATAAAACGTACATTTCAGTCCTGGATTTGAGATTTACTCTCTCAAGAAAGACAATGTATCTTTGAGAGCATAGTTTCGCTTGCACAGTGACCTTGGGTGAGACTTCCGAAGCCCCCATCAGCTATACTAGTCCATGCCCATGACTCGGTGCATAGATTCCCCCTTACATATGGTTGAAGGGGGGCGATAAATCTAACCCATCAAATGTTTTTAGAACAAATATGTTACTTACAATTTATATTGCACCTCCATGCATGAAACTGAAACAAGATCAATCACAAAGGGATAGCGATTTTGTGTCTAAGTTCATATTTTAGTTTAAGAATAATTTTGTAATTCTAGCTAGAGGTAAGAAAAAAGGAGTACAAGTAGAATTAGCTGGGACAGATATTTTCTTGTGACAACAGCAATTTATTTTTCTATATAGGAAAAAATCTACTATTAAAACCAACCTTGCTAAATGACAACCTTTAATTAAACCAGTTGACAATAACCTAAGAGAGTCCCTGATTCCCCTGTCAATCACTTCCTTTGTCTTCAGGAACCATTTTACAACTGAAATTCAAATCTGTTGGCAGTTGGTTAGTTTTCCATCTTACTGGGATCCAAATAGAAGCGGCATACTTTTTTGAGCTATCTAAAACAGGAAAACTCATTGTGACTTTTTATATAATAATTTTTGGGGCCGGGAATTTAGCTCAGTGGTTTGGTGGCCTGCCTCACAAGTGCAAGGACCTGAGTTTGATCCCCAGTACCACAAAATAATAATAAGTTTTGATAGTATAAATATGTAACCCAGAAAAAGGGAAATAAGTAAGTTTATGTAGACTGTCCAATAGGAAAAGATATACAATAAATGTATTGGGTTCTGTGGTTGCTTTGAGATTATTTTTAAAAGTAATGTGTTCTAGAATTATCTATGCAAGACTTTTAGGCATGCCTAATACAGAAATATTATCTACCATTTGGAGATAGGAGTTATTCAGGATTGTGCATACAAAAAAAAAATTGATCCTCCAAGCCGTGTATTTAAATTATGCATGTTTTTCATACAACCCTCAGTGAGTTTAACAGCATCACTTCCATTACATAATTTTTAAGTGAATGATGTCAAATGTCACTAGCATGATCTGTGCAGGAAACAGAGCAGAGTATTTATGTATGTATGTATATTGAAGAAAAGCTAGTATGTACTTGAAGTATGAGACAATGATTTTCAGCAGCCTCTATGCCCACATTCAGAGCGATACCCCTGGTCTTTGTGGAAACACATGTTTTCAAAGGAGCAGTGAGACACATTACTTGTAAACAGGGAAAGGGCTGGCTCGTGCCCTGCAGTTCAGGGAAACTTTCCCTTCTAGTGATTCTTCTGGATAAATGGTATTGATGGGTTGCTCTTCAAAAACTGGTCCAAATCCTTTGTCTTCCTCAGAAACTGTAAGAAAAGTAAAGATCATTTCATTTTATATAGTTTTATTTCAAACAAAGTGTGTATACGTGGAAAAAAATCAGAAGCATAGAATACCTATTTCAATTCAAAACAAGGACATTGCTTCTGTGATTCTCATGAAGATATTTAGTTCCTTATTCAAAATTACTTTCTGCGAATCTCTCATCAGTCCTTAATAGTATCATGTGACGCCAACCTTACCCACTTACACCTCCTCAAACAAGCCGTGCTCTAAAGCCTGTGGCTTTACATATGCTTATCCGCTTCCTAGAATCACCGCCCTACTATTCTTTTCCCATCGACAATCCCAATGGTCCTTTATAATCAGTCTGGCTATGGAGCGAGTAAGGTCCTTCAGGAAGTTGCCCCTCACCCTCTTGGCTCTAGTTCATTCTCTTTTGTTTGCCTTCAGTGTCCCATATTTGTAGAATTTAACACACCTGCTGTGATTCTTAATGCAACTTTCTGTCCTACTAGATCACCAGTGGTCGGTGACAGATGGCTGCATCTCTAATCTCTGCACGCCAGTCTCCCAGTTAGCTGCCCAGCTAGCTGGAATGCATAGGTGCTAAAGATGTTACAACAGGAGAATGAAGAATGAATTTCTAGACGTGCTGGGAGAATTAGTCTCTTTCCTGAGCCCCCCCCCCGCCCCCCGAAAACGCTGGTACTCATCACCTTCTAGTCTAGGACAGTTTATAAACAAATTAAGTGGGTATGAGATCTGAGGAACAGTCTGAAAGTCCTCACCACCATGCTCATGGTGGGAAGCAGTTGTCCTAACAGTGCATCCTCTTGGGTGCGAAGAGGAGCATCACCCCGCGGGGTGCAGAGAAGGCAATCACTCGTGTGAGTCACCAGCGTTTACACAGCACAGCTGAGAGCCATATGCTCCAAATGAATTAATAATGACCTGTGTGGCTAGAAAGGAGGAATATTCTTACATGAGGTCCCTGGACTCTCTGCTAGAGGCATGATTTTTGCCTCTACTTTATATTTTCAGAGAGTTTAAGGCAAAGGGCACAATGACATTAACTTCTCTAAGATCAGCCTTTGAAGGTGAGAGCTATCCCAACTTCCCTTAGCAGATGCATGATGTCATTTAAGTCAGACCTTACTGCCATTTCTCAGTGTGCCCTTGGACAAATTATTTAATCTCTTTAAGTCTCAGCAATACCCTTTATAAAATGGGAAATAACAGAAAAAGTTATTGTCAGAATTATTTTCAAGTAATGCATGGAAGATAATATTGTATCTGGCTTAAAATTAGCAATCAATGAATGCTGATTTTGCAAATAAAAGAATTTGCCAATCTTCAAATTTTAATTGATAATTTTATGTATATCAACTCAGACTAACAATAGAACTTTTAAAAGGCAGAAGCCAAACTGTTTTCATTTTCACAACTCTGGTACTAGTAGCCTTGTGCTGTTTTGAGGACTCAGCGCATATCTTTTGTATATATAGGTGAATAACACAGTCCTTAAGCTAGTTTCCTCTACAATGAACTATTTTCTTTCTTTCTTTTTTTTTTTTTAATTGAGTTTATTGGTACATTTAGGGATACAGTACAGTTACATTCATTGTTGGGATCATGTACCTTTATATGGCAAGTCTTGATTCTCATTTTTTTCCCCTTACCTCTGCCCTCCCTTCACCCCCTCCTCCCCTCCCCATCTACAAACACTTTATTTTCATCTTTTCATTCTCTCACATTTTTTTCTTTTCCCTTTTTGTTCTTCCCCTACGTATCACACCTTCCCTACACCTTTAGCTCCTTTCCTCCCATTTCTAAATGTCAGTAATCTTATTAGAATCTTATGCATTGTTGCAGAATATTCACACCAGGGAAACTATTTGGTATTTACACATGTGGGACTTATTTTGGTTTTTTGAGATAAGGTCTCACTATGTAGTTGAGATCGACCTGGAACTCATTATGCAGCCCAGACTGGTCTCGAACTCACAGCGATTCTCCTGCCTCAGCCTCCCGAGTGCTGGGATTATCCATGTGCACAACTCCCGGCAACAATGAACTATTTTCTACATTCATCCATTTCAAAGGAACTGTCTCATTTTGGATGCAATGCTGAAATTGCTTTTCAAGACTGTATAAATCTCAGCCCTATATCACAACTACGATGCTACTTCAGACAGGAGGTAAATAGCTCATAGTAACTGAGATTTAGTTCTAGCAATTCACTCTTCAAGCTGCCATGCAAACCATCAGTGTCACATGGCTTCTACACTTGCAAGGTAAAGACAAGGGCGTATATACTCAGGGCCCCTCACTCGGTCTACCTCGGCCATTCATAAGATCATTTTCACAGAAGTTATTCACAGAAGCTCTCTGCTAAAGATTTGTAAAGTTGATCCGAGCTGTCTTGTTCCACATCCTTTTTTGCAGTTTCAATAACCAGACATACATATAAAGCTTTCTGCTTCACGTCTAGTAATTTTACTGAGGCTCCACACTGCTTTCTGGCCAGTCAGGATGTTATCAGCACGTTAGGGAAAAATGAGTAATGAAATAAAATCCTTCATGCCAAGAGACTTTTATTTTGGATGTGGGGCCTAGGTTTTTCCTTCTTTCAAAGAAATGACCTTGTGCTTTGTTAGACTTCCCTTGCCTTGAGGTGGCTGCCACATAGAATAGCAGCCTCCATGTTAAAATATGGCTTCTCCCAACAAAGGACAGGCTTCTTCTTCCCGTCATGCCTCTTCTCCAACCAAAAGAGTGACCTGATACTTGCTACCTCCTAATAGCTAGCGAAGTCACAGGCTCCTCCAATCCCTTAATACTACCTCACTCAACTCCACCCCAGCTCAGGCCAACCCCACCCCGCTCCTATAGAAAAAGCTCCCTGTTCTGCCATATTGCTTTCTCTTCATTGTTCAGAGAAAGCCAGGCGGCTCCTCCCCATAATAAAGGCTTATGGTTCTGGTCTGGTCTTGGTGTTCGGCTCTTTTGTCTAACATGCTTAGCAATGATGAAAGTCATATGCTATTTCTCTTTCCACTTGAAAAATTTCATAAGTGCTTCCTCGAGTCTTTCCCAATTACACAGCTTTTCTGACTGGAACAATTTAGTAACACCTGCCAATTTGGAGAGCCTGTTGTCCTTCCCAAATGCCCATAAAAGAGCTGAAAAAGACAAGCAGAAAAGAGCCTGTTTGTCAGTATATTTAGAATCTCTTGTTGAAAGCAAGATGACTTCTATCCCTGAAAAAATAGCCATGTCAGTGTGAATTACTTCAAACTGTTATATAAAACCTCTACATACAAATATTTAGAAAAGCAAAAATGTATATCGTTCATGGAAAGCTCATAATTATATTCTTTTTTTTTTTTTTTTTTTTTTTTTTTTTTTTTTGGTTTTTTGAGACAGGGTCTCACTATGTAGTTGAGACTGACCTGGAACCCACAGGGATCCTCCTGCCTCAGCCTCCTGAGTGCTGGGATTACAGGCATGCACCACCATGCCCAGCTCTTCATAATTATATTCTGAGTGCACTGTTTTAATGTTATACCACATGGATGATGTCATGATACTAACCACCAATAGCCCGGATCACAATGTTCAGGGAAAATGGAGAGGTGATGTGGTTATGCTTATAAAGTAATAAACAGCGGGGCCGGGGATTTAGCTCAGTGGTTCCATCACCTGCCTTGCAAGTTCAAGGACCCAAGTTCAATCCCCAGTATAAAAAAAAAACAAAAAACAATAAACAGCAGATCACTGGTCTGTAATGATTAATTTCTGGTTCTTACGAAATGCTAGCTTAAGGATTTAAGATGGTCACCTTGATAAACTAGAAGATCGTTGTGATTATTCTGGCCTTAGGTATAGCAGTGAGCTTTCAGATACCATACTAAAATTACAAATTGGATTTTATTGAAAACCAAAACTTATGCTCAGAGAAAGACAGTTTTAAGAATATCTCAGATCTTCTGGTTTAGGAACTTTCCTTTGGACCTTGTCCAAGTTACATTCCATAAGCTACAAATGGAAAAACTTTAACTGAATGTGTCTCACTTAATAATGGAGAATATAGTAGTGACCATATACGTCTTCAAGTAATTTTAACATATCTTGGGCTGTATTAGTTGAAACACTATTATATGATTGTATTCCCAGTGTTAAATACCTTTCCACTATCTGCTTCTCAAGTGGCTTTTGATAGGGCCATTTATAGGGAGCATCATAATCTAGAAGTTCCGATTTAAGGTAAAATTTCATTAGTTTCCTTATATTGTAGATAGCTAAGTTAGATAAAAACTGACATGTAGTCAAGGAGGGCCTGGGTTCTTGAGGACGTTAGTGAAAATAAACACATCAGAATTGGCTGTAGGAGCTTCTGAAGTAAACCAGGCCTCCGGATGAAGATGCAATGGCCAGGCCTATGTGTCCCACTAAGGGATAAGTAGCAATCTGAAATTATACTGTAACTAGTGCCACCTGGTCCACGAAGTCCAGGTAGGCATCAGTAGCCCAGGTGGGTGACCAGAACATCCGGACCCATGCCTCCCCCAAAATGTCTTTGTTCTGTCCATGCACCCTTACTACACAACTTATTTTCATGCTGGATCAGTATTAACTAATTGGCTCTATTTGTGATCCTATAGGTCGATTATATCTTGACCCATGTCGTACCCACACTGTGGTTTTGCTGTATGAATTCGCCACCGACAAAGGGTCTCAGTTGCCACCCACTTCTGGACCCCTCCTGCCTCTCAGGAGCTATCTCTCAGTAAACCTTTGCTCCTCATTACCTCCTTCCACTGTTCCTGAAAATTCATTCTTCAATTTCAGGGGACAGGAACTCAGCACATGTGACATCTAACAAGTTGGAAATTATATATCTCATATATCATCTTGGAGGCCCCAATGAGATTTTTGGAAGGAGTTAAGAATACGCTTATGTTTCATATGACCTGAAATATTACAGTGGCATTCTACATTAGGACTCAACTCAGTAATTAAG